GGGGGGGGGGGGTGGGTAACAACACTATGTAGCGGCTTATGCAACGTTAGATATGATTGGTATACAATAAACGTGAAGAACACTTGAGCCATGTTCTATTTCACATGATCTGAATCATTTTGATTTGACTAGTATCTTGACCCGTGCCAAGCGTGGATGATATGGATTTTTTTCGATTCTATAATATTTCTTCACCAGATTATTATTAAAGGATTAAACAAAATATACATTTCGATTGTGTTTGGTTGGGGGTAAATATTTTCTTTGAAGAATATTTTCCAAAGGAAAATAATTCTAAGGAAAATTATTCTTCAATCATATAATCCATTGTTTGGTAGAAAAATATTTTTCTTCCACTAATGTCACCAAACACATGAAAATGGAATCAAAATTTTCCTGGAAAATATTTTACGCCCAACCAAACAAACCTTTAATATAATCTATTCTCTCCGTCATACAAAAAAGTTTCACATTTCTTTTTCCATATGTCCTCGCAAAAAGGTTACATTTTTTACTTTTAGAAAACTTTTGGAGATTATATTTTTTCTTCTCTGCACTACTTTTAACTACATAATTTTGCTTTTATTGAAGAAAAAAAAGTTGATTTAATCAGTGTGTGGGAAAATGTATAAAAAAGAGGTAAGTTTTGGAGGTGGTGTGATGAGAGTAGGATGTAAAAGATTGAATTTGTCAACGTGAAAAAATGTATCCATATATGAGGAATAAAAAAGATGATAATTTGTATAGTATATGTGGAATGAAAAAGATGACAATTGTCCAAATGCAATCTATTCATTATCCAGTTTCTTCTCTAAGTAAAACATTTGAATGTGTGTGTTATGGACTGAAACCATTGCAAGGTATGTGACTTGTCCCACATCGATTGTATGGGCAATTGATGTGGGGTTTATAGGCCAAATGGGTTCCCTCACCTATCAGACTAGTCTTTTGGGTTGAGTTCTTCCGTTTGGTCTGTATGGACTGAAACCATTGCAAGGTTAGGGACTTGTCCCACATCGGTTGTATGGGCAATTGATGTGGGGTTTATAGGCCAAATGGGTTCCCTCACCTATCAGACTAGTCTTTTGGGTTGAGTTCTTCCGTTTGGTCTGTAACAGTGGTATTAGAGCCAACCTCGGAGTGGTGGCCCACGAAGTGGTGGCCTGGAGAGAGCCAGCCGTGACCAACGAGGACGTTGGTCCTTAAGGAGGGACGAATGTTATGGACTGAAACCATTTCAAGGTATGGGACTTGTCCCACATCGGTTGTATGGGCAATTGATGTGGGGTTTATAGGCCAAATGGGTTCCCTCACCTATCAGACTAGTCTTTTGGGTTGAATTCTTCCGTTTGGTTTGTAACCGTGTGCTTCTTCCATAAAAGGATATGAATTGCTAACATTCAGAATTTCAGATGTTACTTATTTAAGACCCCGTTTATAAAAATTTAAAGAATTTTCATAAAGCAATAATGACCAATATAAAAATTTTCCGACCTGATAGGGCTCTGCCCCTTGGCATGGACCCCGACAGGGCTATCACCCTTGGACCCCACTATCGGGGAATGACGCCCATAGACGCGCTATATAATTTGTAATATCGTTGAACGACTCAACTGACATATACTCTGCACCTCTAAACTCGTTAACATATATTACCTCTAGGCTCGTTAACGTATATTATCTTACTACCTTCGTTCCTTTAAACTCTTCCAGTATTGACTTTTGGGGAAACTAAGGAAAATGTAATTTTGGTTGATTTTCCAATTTTGCCTCTGATGTGATGGGTAAAAGTATGATGTGATAATTAGGTTATTAGTGAAAAAGTATGATGTGATAGGTAGGGTATGAAAAAATAAGGGTAAAAGTGGTTTTTTAATAGAAAGTGGAAGTGTTTTAGAAAAGTCAAGAAAAACGAAAGGGGATGAGTTTTGTGGAACGGAGGGAGTAATACATTACACATTCCAAATATTTGAAAATTAAGATATTACTATTTGAATATACATGTAGATAATTAGTATATACACACAAGTTTCACAGACTTAATTGCTCTATGAACAAAAAGAACAAACTCCGTTACTCTCTCTATAGATACACTTGATGCACATTCCTTAAAGATTGTGATCTAAAAACCTGTGATTTGAGTTGCATCATACGCATGCAATTTGTGTGGTTTCTTGAAAAAACGTCTGAATAGCAGCAAAGCAGGCATCCGTTTCGATTCATGAAGAATGAATGTCGAATAAAAAAAATTGTGCACCCAATAACAATAATCAAGGCCCCGATAAATTTTACTCGGCCCTGCCTCTATTATTTTATCCATCTTAAAACAATTTTTAAATTTATAGTCCCTCCGTCCCAAAAAGATTGGTACATATTTACTTTTCGGGAAATTAATGGAGAGATATTTTGGTGTTGACTTTTCAAAAATAGCCTTGATGTGATGGGTAAAAGTAGGATGTGATGGGTAGATTATTAGGAAAAAGGTATGATGTGATAGGTAGGGTATGAAAAAGTAAGGGGTAAAACTGTAAAAGTGGTTTTTAATAGAAATGTAACGGACTTTACGGGACGCAGTTTTTTCGAAACGTGTCGGACTTTTTGGGACGGAGGGAGTACATCTTTTCTATGGCAATGATGTTCTATTCTCTCCGTATCACAAAACCTTTCTTCTCTCTTTTTCATCGTCCAAAAAACATTTCTCATTTCTATTAAAAAGTTATTTTTACCCCTACTATGAAGTAATTCTAACCTACCTATCACATCACACTTGTTTCACTATTAATCTACTCATCATATCTACTTTACTCATTATAATCAAGGATATTTTTGAAAAGTCAACTCCAAAATAAATTTCCTTTAAATCTTTTAAAAGTCAAAACCAGAAAAGTTTTATGAGACGGAGAGAGTAGAGTTAATCGGGAACACAAAAATAACAAAAAATTAAAAATGTGTGATTGAAATAGTGCTGGGAAAGGAAATACATAACAAAAGTCACAGAAATTTCTTCAAACGTAGAAACTAGAGAATGAATTTTTTTGCAGGACAAACGAATTGAAAAAAGAAATATAAATCCTTTTTATAGGCAGAGCGAGCACATTCAATAGGATCAATTATTATCAAATTGTTTTAGGACAAAAGAAAAGAATTAAATTTTAACAGGACGGGAAAGAACATTAATTTTAAGAGTCACAGTTACATCATTTCACCACAAGGGCTTTGGCGATACAAACAACTCCCCATATACTCCCTCGGTCTCTAAAATCTTTCTTCTTTCTTTTTTCATCTGTCACAAAAAATACTTCTCATTTCTATTAAAAAGTCATTTTTATCCCTTACTTTTTCATACCATATATCTCATCATACCTTTTTACTAATAATCTATCCATCAAATCATACTTTTACTCATCACATCATCAAAGGACATTTTAGAAAATTCAATATCAAAATACACTCCCATTAAATCCCTCTTCAAAATAAAAAAATTCCCATGTTTTCCGGGACGGAGGGAGTATATAAATTGACACGCATATGCTACGGATAGTGAGATATATACTTGTACAAATTAAACTCCAGAACTTAATTAGGTACGCCCGCAGGCAGATTATTTTTCACTTTGAATTCTATCTCTCTGGATGGAGTTATAAACAAGCTCGATCGATCATTGCGCCTTTGAATTTAAAATATATAATCTATAATACGTACGTAGTGAGTAATTAAAAATTGCATGCAGTGAAAAATAAAATGTGGAAGCTAAGGATAGCAGAAGGAAAAGATGGGTTGCTAAGCACGACGAACAACTTCATCGGGAGACAGCACTGGGAATTCGATCCCGACGCCGGAACGCCGGAGGAGAGGGCCGAGGTTGAAAGGCTACGTGCCGAATTCAAGAGGAATAGATTCACAAGGCAGCAAAGCTCCGATCGGCTTATGCGCTTGCAGGTATTATTCAATTAGCTAGGGGTCGTATTTAAATTATGGGGAAGGTTCAACGGACATTGAACTTTAATGTCATGGGATGACCCGGGGGTGCTTCGATGCCCCGTTCGTAAAATTGACGGTTCCTACCCCCTAACACCCCGGTAAATCCCTCCACCCGGCCTCGACCCGAACACACCCCCCACCCCCTTCAATTGCACCCCAAAGTCAAAATCAACTTGTGGGGTGCAATTGAAGGGGGTGGGGGTGCATTCGGGTCGGGGCCGGGTGGGGGGTTTACCGGGGGTAGGAACCGTCAATTTTACGAACGGGGCACGAGCGCCCCCGGGTCATCCTATGATATCAAGGTTCAATGTCACTTGAACCTTGGTGTTAAATTATTAATAAGAATATCATTTTTACCCCTATTTTTTTAGGCTACCTTTAACATTATATTTTTTTCACTAATATAATATATCCATCAGATTTTACTTTTAACAATCATATCAGTAGTAAAATTAGAAAGTCAATCACAATATGTACTTTTTATTTCTCCTAAAAGTCAAAATAGGAATTGGAAATGCAGGGAGAACTAAAATATTTGTCTTTTTTTAATCTAGTACTTACAATTTTATATTCTCATAATAATAGTGGAAAAACATCCAATAGCAGTAGATATTTACTTTGAATAATGTTCATTTTTGGTGAATATTTTACTTGAATGTCTAGTAGACATTAAACACGGTACTTTATTAAAAAATTAAAACATATGATAGTATATTAAAAAAACTAAGGGGCTGTTTGGCAACTTCGGAATATGTAAGTCCTGAACCAGTAAGAGGTCTGAACCATTAAGAGCTAGTATATTGGTTAACTATTCAGGGGCAAATGTCTGATCAATTCAGATAAGAGGTCTTAATTATTTAGACTCTGTATAATACTTAACCATTCAGAGGCAAATCTCTTAACCATTCAGACATCCGAACCATTAAGAGGCTGAAACAAACAGTCTGAACCATTAAGTGCTGAACCATTCAGACATCTGAACCATTAAGAGGCTGAAACAAACAGCCCCTAACTATGTTTTAGTAGTATATAGCTAAACTTTTCTTTCCCATAATGGTGTTGTGGTTCACCCCTTTGGTTAAAAAGTGACACTCTTTGATCATAAATTAAACATAATTTACATACACACACACATAAACACACACACACACACATTTTTATATGATATATAAAAATTTGATATATCAAAATTAAACTATATTTTAAGATAAACCCAATTATATTAAATTTATATTATAATTAAGAGTAAATTCCAATCTATAAATGGTCCCTAATCATATATGGTTACTCCATAGATAGAAGTAAAAACAATAAAAATACCAAAATAGGAGTCATTGGTCTTTTATGACTAAGATAGAACTTGACATTGTCATTGCTACACTGCCATACACACTACATTGTTACATTAGAACTGCCGCATTATCACCGCTACACTGTCATTCGTCGCAGCAAGTCACGAGAGTGCCACCACCGATCGACAACAATTGACTGATCACACTGATATTACACTGCCAACACATACTCTTATTTTGATCTTAAAAGACTTAACACTTCTATTTTGGTATTTTCATAATTTTTTACTACTATGCAGGTAGATTTCTTTTTCCATATTTAGTCTTCAATTCTTAGATATTCTATAAATGATCCCCCATTTTTGAACATTATTCCATAATCGGTCCTTCAGGAACTATTTATGGAAAAGAAATTTCTCATGTTTGGCTTAAATGACTATTTATAAAATAATTTCCAAAATTTAGAACTATATATGAAATAACTAAGAATCGGATACTAAATATGAAAAACCACTCGTAATTGCGATTATTTATGTAATTTACTCAATAATTAAATATAATATTCTCACAATTATGGTTAAAGAGTGTCACAAAAAAATCAAAATAGGAAAGATTTTTAGGTAATGTCAGTAATTTTTTGGAATATTCTTGTAAATTTTGCGTATATGCTAAGTAGATTTCTTTAGTTTAAATTAAATGATAATATAGTCAAATGATAGAAATACCCGCAATGTTTTAATTTCAATCTGTTTTTATAATTTGGAGTGTTTTTGTTTTCAAATGACAGTTTTCGAAGGAGAATGGATGCGGTCCAATTCCAAGAGGCGTCAAAATAAAAGAAGAGGAGGGCATCACAGAGGAAGCAATAACAACAACACTTAGAAGGGCAATCAGTTTCTACTCGACCCTTCAGGCTTGTGATGGCCATTGGCCCGCTGAGTCTTCTGGCCCTTGTTTCTTCCTTCCCCCCCTTGTAAGTACTATTGCATGTCTTCCCCGTCGTCGTAATTAAGGACCCAAAACCGGTTCATTCATCCGTTTGGAAAAAAGTTTTTCTGATTAGGACATATTTGATTTATAAGTCGCCTATAAGTTAAAAACTGCTTATAAGTAATACTCCCCCCGTTTTCAAAAAGAGTTCCTACTTTGAAAAAGTGGAAAAATAAGGAAGTATTAAATTGTAGTTGACTTCCAATTTTGGCCTTGATGTGATGGGTAAAAGTAAGATGTGATGTATAGATTATTAGAGAAAAAGTATGATGTGATAGGTAGGGTATGAAAAAGTAAGGGTAAAAGTGGTTTTTTAATAGTAAGTGGAAGTGTTTTGTTGGAAGTGAAAAAAATGAAAGAGGAAGTGTTTTTTAGAACGGAGGGAGTAAAATAATAAGAACCAGCACAGTGAAATACTCTCATAGTTTGTGCATATATGGTTCCACAAGTTGATGCCTAAGTAGTGGTCAAAAGTTTGGACTTCATCGCCACCTAATTTTAAAAAATTAGAGTTCCACGTGTGAAGTTTTAAACGACCACGCTTGCATGCGAGGGGTGCGTTAAAATATAAAACCTTTCTTTGGCGTGTAACAAAATGGAGCTTTTAGTTGGGTTGATTTTCTTAACTGGCCTATACGTACTCTTTCATGTACTCCCTCCGTCCCAAAAAGTTTGTTACGTTTAGAAAAAACTGAGTCCCGTAAAGTCCGTTACATTTCTATTAAAAAACCACTTTTACCCCTTACTTTTTCATACCCTACCTATCACATCATATCTTTTTTCTAATAATCTACCCATCACATCCTACTTTTACCCATCACATCAAGGGTATTTTTAGAAAGTCAATACCAAAATATCCCTATCTTAATTTCCCAAAAAGTCAAACCGTCTCATTCTTTTTGGGACGGAGGGAGTACAAAATAGGAATTGTTTTTGCAAACGGAGAGAGTCCTAGTTTCAATAATTTAGGAAAAAGCCTCAGAAATATCCGGCCAAACTCTTAAAAAATAGGGAGTAGTTTCTAAATTAAAACCGTAAGGATATAAATTATACAATGGCTAAGATCATACTCCCTCCGTCCCGTGAAACCTTTCTCCTTTCTTTTTTTATCCGTCCCACAAAACACTTCTTATTTCTATTAAAAAGTCACTTTTACCCCTTACTTTTTCATACCCTAACTATCACATCATACCTTTTTACTAATAATCTATCCATCAAATCATACTTTTACTCATCACATCAAAGGATATTTTTGGAAATTCAATACCAAAATACACTACCTTAAATCCCTCCTAAAAAGCAAATGTCCCATGTTTTACGGGACGGAGGGAGTACAATAATATGTACCATAACCGTGCCCTTTGAACTCAATGTCATAGCTAAAGAACAAAATGAAAATAAATAATGAGAAAATCCTAAATTAAATTAATTATATAAAAAGTGCCATGTTCTTCTGACTTGGCACATAATTAATTAATTAAAATACGTAAACATATGTTCGTTCGTGTATATGTGTAGGTTATTGCCTTGTATGTGACGGGAGCAATAAATACAGTGCTAACCTCGCAGCACAAAGTAGAGATGATCCGTTATTTATACAATCATCAGGTGATTATTAGCTAATAATAATTGTAGAGTATGTTTGAATACTTGTACAGTTTTAATTTTCCACAATCAACTACTTTGACGTAATGTTTAATGTTATACTCCCTCCGTCCCAAAAAGAATGGGACGGTTTGACTTTTTGGGAAATTAAGAGAGGGATATTTTGGTATTGACTTTCCAAAATACCCTTGATGTGATGGGTAAAAGTAGGATATGATGGGTAGATTATTAGAAAAAATGTATGATGTGATAGATAGGGTATGAAAAAGTAAGGGGTAAAAGTGGTTTTTTAATAGAAATGTAACGGACTTTACGGGACGCAGTTTTTTCTAAACGTAACAAACTTTTTGGGACGGAGGGAGTACATACTATAAAACAATATTTTAAACGTATTTCAATTTTACATTTTACTTGTCGCATTAAATATTTAAATTTGGTCTAAATGGACACAATTATCTTTACTTTTTTCTAAAATCCAACCGAATCTACCTCAACTACTTTCTACGTCCTACCCATTTTGAAATTTTTCGAGCCCTATTCATTTCAATTGTCATCATTTCATCTTGGTCAACCTTCTAAGTTTCTCATCCCAAAAGTCAAAACAGGAAATGTTTTGCGAGATGAGAGAAGTATTATAAAATAAATCTAATGAATTAAATTTTTTTTATCGATATCTAATATCAGTTTTATTTAATTAATGATCAAATTTTAACTGCAAAAATTCAGAATTGGATAAATCATCAGAACACGGTAGTGGTATAATTGGGTTTCTTAAATATTTTTATCACCTTTTTCCTATGTCATTGCTCAATTCTTATTGTACTCAAAAGTGGTTGTTTTTTTTTGCAATGAAAAAACTCAATAATAATTAATTAAGAATGAAGATGGCGGCTGGGGATTGCACATAGAGGGTCCTAGCACCATGTTTGGCAGTGGAATAAGTTACGTGGCTCTGAGACTGTTAGGGGAAGGGCCTGATGATGGAGAAAATAGGGCAATGGAGAGGGGACGAAAGTGGATTCTTGACCATGGTGGCGCTGTAGGCATTCCTTCTTGGGGGAAATTCTGGTTTGCTGTAAGTTTTATCGCTCATTGCCTCATAATCCTTAAAGTTTGACTTCTTTTTTTTGTAAAATTTCTTAATCACTAATAAATATGTCATCCCTCCATCTAGATTCTTCGCTATTTACACAGTCAAATTTTATTCAACTTTTTTTATCTCTTTTCCTTGATTATTTGATAAAATAAAATGGTTTATAAATCACTACTGGTTTTGTAAATTTTTTGAAGTAGTTTTTAAATAGGTAACATTATTTTTTATTTTTACACCTATATTCATATAAATTGAATTGAAAATAACTTTGGTCAAACATCGTAATCCAAACCATGAAGACGTATACTAGAGGGACGGAAAGAGTATAATTTTAAATAAATACATGATATAAAATTGGATATTTTAGAATTAGATTTTAAAATGAACTAAATTATATTAAATTCACATTATACCTAAATAATTATTTCTACAATTCATAGTAAAAAAATAGTATTTGACCAAAACAAGTCAAACACTGATGATTGTTTTGGAAGAGAGACAGAGAGAGAGTAATAATGTTCTAATAAATAATAATAAGGATAATGATAAATACTACCCTCTCCGTTTGGAAAAATCTTTTCCATTTTGACTAAAGACCAAATTAAGGAAATGTTAAATTGTAGTTGATTTCCAATTTTATCCTTGATGTGATGAGTAAAAGTGAGTTGTAATGGATAGATTGTTAGAAAAAACGTATGATGTGATATGTAGGGTAAGAAAAAAATATGGATAAAAGTAGTTTTTAAATAGAAAATGGAAGTAGTTTGGTGGAAGAGAAAAAAATGAAAGAGGAAATGTTTTGGTGAACGGAGGGAGCAGTAATTATTCTTAATACACTAGGAAAAGATCTTTTGACCTTGAAACCAAGGTCATTGTATTCCCCGAGACACTTACAGTGCTCCATTGATAAAATTGATAGTTCCTACCCTCTGCCACCCTAAAAATGTCGGTTTAGGCAGCCGAAATATGCATTTTATGGGGGGGGGGGGCAGGGGGTTTTAAGAGAGAGTTAAGAACTAATGGAACCCTCAATATTGCCACGATACAAGTGTGTACTTTGGTTTTTGCAAGCAAACCTTTGGACGTGAAGATGCACTCTTTGAGTTAATGATCACACAATCCATCAAATTTTTCGATAACTCATCAAGAGACAAAGTTTTCATGACCATGCAACAATTAATAGATAACATAGTGGTCATCAACGAGGGGTCATGATATTGAGGACAAGATAATTATCATCGACTAGACTTCTAACCAAAGGCAATTCTGTCGCAATTGTGGTCATGTCGACAATTGAAGTTTTTAATTCACCAGCTAGGTTTTGAGAGAGACAATGCCACCATAAGACAAGCTAGCAAGAATTGTGGTTAATCGATACTAAGCTCCCGTTGATATTTCAGACAAAGAGATTGAAGGCTGAGCTTCCTATGAACAACTGTCAGGAATGAATAAAAAATTAGATTTGAATGAACTTAATGTTGCCAACCCACAAAATGGTCTTGGTGGGTATGATGGAGAAATGCCTGGGAGGTGCTTAGCAAAACAGCTTTGTAATGGGTGAGGAAGCCATTGATGGCGTGTATAGGAGAAGCAACGGAAAGTTTGTAGGGGGTAGTGGGAATAACCAAGCACTAATTTTAGAGAAGCAGATCAGACAAACAAAATGTTACAAGAAATGTTTTATCACTTTCACAAAAACCAATGATTGACCAAGTGCTGAAACATCTTCTCCATCTCATGCAAACACATATGATATAAAATAAAAAATCGTAAACAGTGCACAAAAATTGTTTACACAGTTAAGAACTGAATCTCTTACATCTGCGAGGCCCACGTCCATGTAACAAGCCTCCACTAAATTACTCTAGCGTTTACAATCAACTACAAGAGTACCTTAATATATTGATTAAAGACTTATATCTGATTACTAACTACAAACTCTACTTGAGTCTTTCCCCTTGGCATGTTACACCTTCTTTATGTTCTCCATCAAGGACGTGTTGTCAGCCTATTTCTAGATCAGCACAATACTTAACTTCTGGATGTGGTTGTGAACTATTACTTCACAACAAGGATTACAGAATGTAATCCTTTTTCAAATATCACCACGCTCTGATATGAATAGAGTGGCGTGATATATCGCCGCTCTCATGTTGTGAGGAATACTCTCTTTTTCTTAGTTGTTAATCGAACACTATTTCCCCTGTTCAAACGAGACCATTTTCAATATAAATACCAGGGGTGACAAAACCCTAGTAGAGTCATAAATGAAGTCTTCTTCTTGGTGTCAAATATACTTCGTTTCCTGCAAGAATCATTCAAATATGGCTTCACGAGTATCTCAATAATGTAGGGCTCCTGAGGAGAGAAGTTACAAAGACTGTAGAAAAATAATAGTAGCATGTAACAGGTCTCTTGAAAGAGCATGCATTGAAATGTGTCCTACTGAAACGGGAACACCTCGCCGCTTGTGACGACGGACAGGATGCTAGAACTCTACATTAACAAAACGGCTACCTAAAACAAACTACCCTAAAACAAATTGTGTTTGTCAAAAAATAATGCCAATGTGAGTTATACAACTCAACTAAAAAATTGACAAAGGGAAGGAAGGAACTAACAATCTCCCCCATTTGTAATTTTTTGAAAAAACACTTTATCACTATTCAACCGTTTTGAACCTGTTCTACCCTTTTTTTGCATAAAAAATGCCAAATTTTATTAGTAAAAATGCTTTGGGGGTTACAATAAGAATTGACCCCCTAAAGAATGTAACATAGAGTTGTACTATCATCACGTTAGCAGCAGACACATTCCTTCAAACATATGATGTCAGCCATAAACGCAGAGCCCTTTAGTTGGGGAAGAATAAAGAAAGTTAGCTTGCTCAGATCAGCACCTCAAAGGTGTTTTAGCGAAATAGCATACATATATGGACATGTAGCCACTCATGTCCTTATGTGCACTGTATGCATTGTCAAGACCACTTCCTAAAAAGAAATTCCCCTCAAGTAGGATGATTGAGTCATCGCCAAGATGTCATAACAAAAACCAAGGCATAGAGAGTACCAGCCAAATTAGCAAAAAAGTTTGAAAACACACAACCAATGGGCAAAACAATCCCAACCAAAAAAATGTTTTTCCTTTTTGAAAAAGTGTGTGAGATATTTTCCATTCAGTGAATTAATCCGCCTCACTAGGACTTACTGAGCCATCAAACTTGTGAAGCTCCTTCTCAAAGTCAGATGTGTCTGTAGTGTCTTCTTCTTTTTCATTTTTAGATACATTAGTGGCACTCTCCTCAAGTTCTATGTCTTGTTTGATCTTCTCCCCTAGCTAGAAGTAACCTTCATATTGTCTTTCAAAGTTTTGAAAACCGACACCAACATATCCCTTCTCTCTGCTACATTGTATGCAAACTCAGTGTGATAGTCCACATCCACCTAAAGAGTCTCAATCTCCTTTTCCAAGAAATTGAGCTGTTTAGAGATCCGTACTATCTGTCTTGCAGAGGCATCCTTGACACATTCCTCAAACATGTCATTGAAGTATTTTTTCTCAAAGTGTTTGTTGTCTACTTGAAGTAGAGGAGGGATAGGTTCTTCTTCTTTAGCTTCTTCGTTCTCAAATCCCTAACTCTCCACAAAGTCATAGATCATGAGAAGATAGGGAAGCCCATTCTGATTGTGATTGTGTTTGTCAGTGTTGGGAAACCACACATGGATAGCACAACGAAAAATAAAATTTTATATCCAATCGTCATTACCACCAAAGATCGTCTTACGAAAACTATAAATTATTGTTGAGAAGAATACCTTTTCTTGTAGAAAATAGATCAGATGGTGCAGGTGAAGGGATTGGTGGAATGAACCAGTCACAAATGAATCCAACCTTTAGCACGTCCACACAAACAATGAATGGTGTTCTATGAACAATTTATGCTAGTAAATTCTTCCTAGAATATTACTTTTTTTACTCCCAGTGTGCAAACCACCAAGCTTGGTGGGGTAAGGAAACCGAAACCAAAGTATATAAAGATAAGAAGTGCCACTAATGTATCTAAAAACAAACAAACAAACAAACCGAAACCAAAGCATTACCAGTGTCACAAGATAAGAAGTGCACCATGGTAATGTGTCATTAAAAGGCCATGAGAAAGAAGAATGGCAACACAAGAGGAGTGGTAATAATCTCAAAAGGGAGGAATACAAACCCATCCGAGTCAACCACTCCTCACTTCACAAACCATACATACCAAGACTAGGAAAAGATATTATAAGCGCACCTATAATATCCAACTTCTCCTTAGCCCCAGCAGAACCAGTAATGGTTTAAAAATCTCCTAACAGAAAGCAAACACTATCCCCTAGCAGATAGGAAAAAGGAAATTGAGCGCACCCAATATCCAAGTTCTCCATATCCCCAGAAAGATAGGACTGCATAATCAAGTCGAAGTAAAAGCAGCAAAGCTAGGAATGCGTTGAATATCATGTTGGCATAGAACTTGACAGTAGGCAGGTAAATCAAAACTATCACAGAACTCCCAACTTGGATGGAGTTGATTATTGCACCACTTAACTAAATAGTTTGTGACCCTATTAGCCTCATGCTCACAGATATGTGCTGTATAAGTACATCAAGATAACAGAAAAGCCAACCTACTGAAGTTGTTCATAGCAATTAGAGGAACAACAAAGTTAAGAAGCTGTACCAGTTCCTCAAAGTCTGCCTCAAATTGAATTCTGTGTAAACCAGCATTTAAACACCAAGGAATAATAGCAATTAATATCTCAAGTGCTGCCTCCATTTTAGTGAACATGCCCCTGATGCTTTGTGCAAATAGAAAAGTCCATGTAGAATCCCTAATCACAGCTGCTGCCCACTTCTATGGTTTGATTGCAAATATGCCACATTAAGTTTGATAGTGTGAACGGGTGGGGGGTCCCAAGAGACTTTTTTAAAATGGAAATGTTTGGGTAAAA